CCTGGTAGGTAGTAAATGCATTAATTATTATTAGTGTTAGGAGCTGTTTGGATTTGCACACAGATCTTCAGCTCTCTGAAGGTCTTCTCTGGGGAAAGGGGAGAGGGACTGTAGGACTCCCCAGAATTTGCAGGGGTGGGAAAAATTATAGGAAATCAGAGATTCAAACAGAGTAACGAAAGCTTTGCAAAACAAAGTTGTCTGTTGGGATGGCTTGCAGCAAAAGTGACTTTCTGTTACTGTGGATCTTCAGTTATAATTATCAGCATGAGAAATGCAGGTTAGCTATTAGAAGTGGATCCAATCTTTAAGAGTCTATGACTCCAAGTAGCACACAGTGTAATAAACCCTAAGTGTAGGAAGTGACATCTCGTTGTGGCGGCGTAAGTGCAAGGTGTTGTATTGTGGACTACTGGAGCAAGATCGCCACGGGGTTTTGGGTCGGCGGAGGCCTGCGGGTTGGTTTGTCGATCTGGGGTTGGGGATTGGGGTGGAGGCGGGGGTATCTTGACGGTGTGTGGTTGGGTCGTGGTGTGGTGGAGATACCCACTCTTCTACTTGAACTTTTGTTATAGGCTGAGGTTTTTTTGTGTGTGTGTGTGTGTGTGCAGTGCTTAGAGACAGCAATTTAAAAAACCTGAGTATTTTAATTATTGCTCTTTAAAGGACTAATACTACTAATGACAATGAGAATTTGCCTTTTACTAAGCACTACTACTTGTCAGACTTTGTTCTGTGAGTACCACATTTGTAATTTATTTAGGCCACTCAGAAGTTCAGTTCAGAAGCAAGTAGGCAGCCTTGATCAGAAAGAAAACTGCAGACAGGGGAGGATACCGTCTTCTTTTTCTTTCAGATATTCACATGCTAAATATTGTTTAAAATAATTTGCATCAAGGAACATTGAGGACCCATTGTTACGTACATGGAATCTTGGGTGCTAGCAGCTCCTATAGTTTACTACAGTGAAAAATGAAATGATTTTTCCATGCACATTCTCTAATGGATAATATTCATTATTAGCAAATGTATAAAAGTATAAATATACCATGCATGTGTGTGCTGCTGAAATATATGTGCATACAAGTATATTAATATCTTATGCTTGTTCTGGTAAATGTTGTAATTACAATTTATATTGAACTCATATATAAAGAAATTAATGTCACAATTAATTTTGTATCTTCAAATTAAATAAATTCCATACCTATATCTATCCAATTTAAAATCAAATATGTTCAACAAGTAGTTTTGGTCACCCACTAGGTAGCTGTTACAGTGCTAGGTACTTTCATCGATGTCATTTCACTGAATAGTTGAGCACCCCTATTTTGCAGGTAAGGAAGAAGAAACTTACAGGGGTAATAATAGACTTGAGATAGACAATTTTTACTGTTCATGACCCTGGACTTGAATTGTAAGCCAATGCTTTTGTCAAAGCTCTACAGTTCTGCCTGTAATGCTGGCTACTCCTGAGACTGAATCAGAAGGATGGCGTTTCAAGGCTACCCGTTGGCAAAAAAATTAGTGAGCTTTCATTTCAACAAAGAAGGTGGGCATGGTACTTCATGCCAGCTACCCAGGAATGGTAAGAGGATTGTGGTCCATATTGGCCCAGGCAAAAGTGCAAGACCCTATCTGAAAACTAAAGCAAAAAGGGCTGGGTTGTGACAAGTGGTAGAGCACCTGCCTGATAAGCTCAAGTCTCTGAGTTCAGACGCCAGTGCTACGACCACCACCACCCAAAAAAACCCTCTACACTTTTAAGGATAGAGCAATATTGGAAACAGGAATTTCATGTAGTCTAATAAAATAATTCACTTAAAAATAGCTTCTGTTTCCCTGTGGGCAAATTATATAAGCCACCAGGAAAAAGAACTTGTTCCAAACTGGAACAGCCAACCTATTTGTTGTGGAAATGAATATCCCAGTGTTTGAATACTGTCTGCACTGACTGGCAATAGAATGAAATGCACTAGAAATTACTCTTTACTTTTTACTGCACGTGAAAGTTACCAGGAGAAAAGTGCTTGCTACGTTTGCACCACACCACACGCTGTTTGCGGAAGGAATCATCACTTATTTTGCATTTGAGTATTTATTCTTCTCAAGATGCAAACCCAGTGCCACAAGACAGGAACTCATGTCATTTTTTTTTTAATGTGAAGAGATAAGCAAGCACATGAAATGAACAATTCATGGCCCGAGTCTGTTTTCTTTATTTTGATCTGAAAAGAAAGGAAAGACCACAACTGAACAGCGTAATAAATTTCACAGTCACAGCGGATGGACTTACAAGGTAGTGTAGTATAATTAAGACTGTGTGCTGGACTCTCTGGGTTAAATCAGCTACTGGCTGTGTGACCCAGAGAAAGTTTTTCTTTTAAATTCTGTTGTATTTTAAATTCATGATGTTTAAAATTTGACAACTGATTGGTTTTGGTATTCCTCACAACATTTAAAATAAAATAGCATCCCTAAGGCAATCTACTGGCAAAATAGAAATTTTGTTATTGAATGGCTTAGTGTCATTGTAGCCAGAGACTGAAGTCAGAGGAAACACAGGTGCTTCTGAACACGGGAAGGTTTGGGCTTAGTTTGAACGTAGCTTCTCTCTGACATTGAATATATGTGGAAGCACAAATTTCAAATTGTTTTTCTTTAGATAGCAGTGCAACGGCTGGCATCGAACAACACAAAAAGTAATTCTAGAAGACTATTGTGGCCCTATTTCTCCTTAATAAACATTTGCTGACTTAATGAATCAACCAGGCCATTTGATTTACTTAGAAATATTTAGATGGCTTGATCAAAGGCATGTTGTTCTATTATTTTTAAAGAGGTAAAAATGGTGATTGTGTCTTTCGGGATACTTGGAAACAAAGTTAGGGGTGAAAAGGAAAGTCTCTAGTTCTGGCCTTGGAGAGTTTTGGTTTTTGATCTCGACAGTTAAACAGTATATGCTACGCAAGAAGGAAAAACAAACAAAAAAAGGGTTGTACTTCCTGGGGGACCAGCATTGGTACTATTACTGAGAAAGTATCATGGAGAAACACTGTTCTCACTTGTGATAGCAGCTCCCACGCTGTTTTGGGGGAGATTGGAACTCTATCACTAGAGCCAGTTTTGTTGGGATTGTTAAGCAAGATGCTTCTCCCGTTCGTTGTCCTGGTGGGAGGGAAATTATCTCAGGCTTGGTTCCTGAAATTTCAGTTCCTGAAATTTCAATGAAGCAGCACAGTTTTGAGCTTAATCAGCACCATGCTGCACGATGACTCCTTTGACCTCTGTCATTGGGAGGCTGCCCCAGTCTCTCCAACACCTGCTTTCTCTGCTGATCTTTCAGTCCTAGCAGTCGTCCTGTGTCCTTCCAATTGCTCTTTTTATTTTTAAATTACGCATAGTTGGTGTTGGTTTTGCTGAATATAGTTAAATAACCCTGTTTCACCTTGGGTGTCATGAGTATTTCTGCTTCCAGAAAGTGTTTTAACATAAAACATTATTTGTTTTAAAGAAAAGACGTAGGATAATAATTGTCCAGATGATATGTGCATATAACAAAAATTGTGTACACTGGCAAATACCCAATAAACTGGCAGGGAGGAGAGACATCACTACAAAAACCGCCAGTAACATTGAACTTCCTGGCTACATTTAGGCTTTAAACTTGGAATATTTTGGAAAACCATGAAAAACTATATCAAGGATTAAGCTGATCCTATTGATAAGAAAAATAAAGATCTGGAAAATTATATGTCAATATACATTAGTACACGGATGGTTGTAAAGGGCTAAAGCAAATAAACTTTGAAAAGAGAATGGCGTTATTTCCTTGGTCAAGATAAGGATTTTTCATCTAAACTCACTTACTGTCTCTGTCAGTGCTTCTTTTCCCAACGAGGAGGTTTTATTTACTTTTGACATTATTTTCCCCAATTACTAAAACACTTGAAGTATAAACCTGTCAACCAAATCAGGAATCAGTGGTGCAGAGAAGTGTGTATGTGTGTGGGTGTGACCAGGCTATGCATCTGAGACTGGGTATTTCTTGTTAGGAGTGTTAGTTCTTTCCGTTCTGCTTCTTTTTGGACACAGTGCTGATCAATGCCATAGCTTTCTTGGTCTATGACTCAAAATTCTGAGGTGCAAGTTCTGACTCCATTACCTCCCCTCTCACCTTGAAGTTCTCTGAATTCTGGTTCCACATGGAAACACCTGGAGATTGAAGATTTCTATTCCAACAAATTTTCTTTTTCATCTGGTGCTTTTATTTTTATTTTAGAAATATAACTTAACATTTAGGGGATGAAGCTTGAGCCAGGTAAAGATTCTGACACCTGAAAACACCTTCAGCAATTGTGTTTCCAAGTAAACATTTTCAGGGAAACAGTGATAAGGAGTGGCGGTCACTTAAACTTCCTGCAAACAATCTATTTATTCCTGGGAAAGAAAGCTTAGTGGAGATCAGGTATGTGAAATGACATAACATCAATCAATGAGTATGTTTCCAATATGACCTTTATTGAGCAAGTACTGCTGTGACATTTAACATCGATCAACATAAGGTTGCAAACTGTGCATGTCAGCGAGGTTCTCCCATGAACAACCCATGAACAAAAGTCCATTTTAAATGCACCAGTGAGGTAAACATAATTATTCATATATAGCTTTCTTAAGGCTAAGAGAGTTCTGTGTTTCATTTATTATTTTTGGCTCAGTTGGTCCTTTGCATAATACATCTCAAGACACCCCCCCTGAGCGCCCCCCTTCCAAACGGCTTAGGAAATTGGCAAATTCCCCAGGTACATACATTATCATGCATTTGAGTCCCCCAAAGACAGAGGAGGGAGCACCTGAGCTTGCATGCAGTTCCCTCATATTGCACAGAGTAAATACAAGGTCTGGAGCCCCCATGGGAGAACCCGTTCTGTTTTGAAGCTGTCAATCACATGCATTTTAAAATTGTCATATGGCTTAACCTTTTGCAATGGACTCAAATCTTAGTCACTCTGGGTGACTTCCTTTACTATGGCGTGTGAAGTGACTTTTTCTACCTTTTTAGTAGACACTAGCTTCTCCTCAAAGGTCTCTTCATGCTCTTCGACCTTTTGGGTGACGGTTACAGATTTAGTGATGTATTTGGTAGCACCATCACCCACCCCCTCACTGGTGATTTTTTCTACCATTTTGGTCACCACCACTTTCTCATCACTTTTGTCACCCCCCTTCTTTTCATCTGCTGGGCTCAAGTCTAACCCATTAGTGACCACACCTTTCTCCTCTTCTCTCCCACTCCCCTTTTCCTTAGTTTCCTGCTCTTCCTCCTCTTTTCCTTCTACCTCCCCATTGACAGCTATGTCTTCCTTCCGGGATTCCTTTGCACCTTGATCACTTCCTTCCTCCTCACTCCCTCCCCCCTCTTCTATTTTCTCCTTCTCTTGCTGTGCTGGCTTCTCCTCCACTTTGGTATCTTTCTCTAGGCTCACCTTTACTGATTTGGTGATGGTGATCACCTCTTCTACTGCTTTCTCCTTCACTGGGGACTCGGCTTTCTTCTTGTCTGGTACATCTTTTGGCTTCTCCTTTTTCTCTACCTTCTCTTCCTTGGGAGCTTCCTTGGCTACTTCTTTCTTTTCTTCCTCAACTTTCTCTTCTTCCTCTTTCTGTTCACCTTTTCCAGCTTTCACTTCTGCTTTTGGCTTCACCTCTTCCACAGGTGATTTTGGCACAGGGCTCTTGGCTTTCTCTGGCTTTTCCACCTTGGCTTCTGCCACCAGCTCCTCTTTGGCAGCCACTCCTTCACCCTTTTCCTCGATTTTCTTTTCTTCTTTAGCTTCGGCTTCTTCTCCTTCACCTTCAGCCTCGGTTTCTCCTTCTTCTTCCTGCTCACCTTCATCTTTTTCACTGGAGCCTTCCTTCTCGGATCCTCCCTCTTCAGCTTGGTCTGACTTGACACCCTCATCTTCTTCTTCTTCTTCCTCCTGGCCTTTTTCTCCTCCTTTTCCCCTTCTTCCTCTTCTTTAATTTCAGGTGCCAAAGCTTTCACTGGAGACTTTTTGGCAGCCACCACTTCTTCTTCAGCTTCTTTTTCCTCTTCCTTTTCTTCTGCCTCTTCCTTCTCTTCTTCTTTTGCGGAAACGGCCAACTCCTCTGCAATGGCTGTCAAGGCATCTTCCATGTCGGACTTCTCATCCTCCACTTTGGTCTCCTCTATGATCTCCTCCACAAATTTGTGTTGGACCTTGAGCTTGGGAGCTTCAACCTTAGTTTTCTGGATCTTACTAGATATTGTGACTGAGGGCTGTCGGTGTGTATACAGCGGCCCAGTGATGCTCCCCGAAAACGTGCTAAATCTTGTCTCTTCACCCTCCAGGAGTTTTCTAAGGAGAGAATCAAAGAAGACAAGACATAATTAAAATCTCACAGGGCCTTCTGATCTTCATTACATTATGGATAATGGAGTAGTTGCTTTGGAATAAATAGCATCATATATGGAAAAATTCCACTTAAGCCTATCTAGTTGATATATTGTGTGATATTCAGTGACTGAGAGGGTTTCTCCTGGATCACCAGCCAGTTGCCTGCTGCATTAACTAGCCACTCCCAGTAGTCAGCCAACCACAGCCAGCCACTTAGTCTAGCTCTGCAGCAGCCAGGATTCATTTGGTACAATATAAATATGCTAAAAGCCACCAGTGGCCACCCCTTAAAAAAAAAACACCCAAATAAACCTTTAGTGACCTTCCTTAGGACATGTGTTAGTTTTTTAAGCAAATATAATGCTCAAAAATTTATAAAATTGTTAAGTGTATTTTAGAACTTAGGCTAAACTGAATTATAGCTGTGGGTGAGTTGAGTTATAAATTGATCTACAATTTTAATAATAAAATGCCTACTTAGTATAATTATTCAGCTTTGCTGAAAAAGTACAATTTATTCTTGTTATAATTGCATCATTGATAATAGAAAACTGCTTATTGAAGGATTTTGTATGTTGATTTTAGTCAACAGCAAGGTCACATTAATTAGGTGATCTATATAACCAATTTATTGATAAAGAGAATATACCTATATGTCTTCACATTTAGTTCTAGGTTTCTGTGCATATATGCATTTATAGATCTAGATATATGTAGATATACGATGTATATCTAGATATCTAATCTACATTATGCCATCTAATAAATTTACATCCACATTATCTACATATGGAAAAATAAATACATCCATGTTCTAATTTGTTTATGTATGTTCTCAGCCTGACGATGGCAATAGTAACCTCTAACAGAGGAACAGAATGCCCTGGTGTTTGTCCTTGACATGATAAATTTGAAAAGCTGGAACCACCAGTTGAAATATTAAAAACTAAAACTTCATTTGTGCTTCAAGCATTCAGACACAATTTTCATTAAAATAAAATGCTTAGCATAAGCACTGAAGTAATCGGTGACTCTCCGCTCCAGTATTTATTTCAACTCAAATTCACTTTTTAAAAGCTGAATCAGTGATAAAACCGCACTTGGAAATCTTAAGAATAACTGCTTTTGAATGAAGCAAGGAAACAGGCTCGGATTTTAGACGTCTGCACCGCGCGATCGCCCTGAACGTCTCTGCGGTGCGGTGGCGCTGGGGCCACATCTGCAGCGAGCCCCGCACCTGTACGCAGCGATCTCGATATCCAGGGCCATCTTGACGTTGAGGAGGTCCTGGTACTCTCGCAGGTGACGAGCCATTTCCCACTTCGTTCCCCGAAGCTCATTTTCCAGCTGCTGGATGGTGTCCTGAAACAGACGCAGGAAGCCTCCATAGACTCATCTTTTTAAGCAGCAACTTTGTTCCCCAGTCACTAGCCGCCCCCCCATGCCACTCCCTCCCCAATTTCCCTCCAGCTCGGTAAACCGCACTCCTGCCCCCGCCCCTATTTTTCCCATTTATAGTTTTAAGGAATTCTCAGACAAACAAATAAAATCCACAAGACAATGAGACGTGCGCAACAAGCAGTGGGTCTAAAACGCATTTCAAAGGCGGAAACTCCACGGCGGAATTTGCCCCCTTTCCCCATCCAAACCCTTTGGACTGAAGCCAATTTTGAGAGCTCTTGGGATCACGACGAGAAAAATACTGAGCTATCCTAAAGTTGCTTGTTTCTCAACTACCCGAATGGAGTTGAGAAGGCTTTAAAAGTGCAAGTGAGCAAAAGCAGAACTGCCAAGAAAAAGAAGCACGCTTTTGGGGAAAAAAAAAGGTCGGGGCCCCTCGGCAGCTGGGGCAGGTGGACAGAGGGAAGAGGGCGGAGGGGAGGGGCCAAGCCAACTGGGCTCTGCGGTGCTCGCTGGTGCGCGCGCACACTAGGCGAGCGGCCACTAGGGGGCGCGACGGAGAGGGCGCTCGGGCACGCGCTCGGGTGTCGGGGGCGCGCGGCGGCGCTGGCGCTGGCGCAGGCCGGCCGCGCAGCCGCGGTTCCTACCTGGTAGCTGCTGAGGTCGTGGTTGTGGCGCTCCTCGATGTCGCTGAGCTGCCGCTCTAGGGACTCCTTGGTGCCGCGTACGGACTCGAGCTCGATGCTCTTGGACTGCAGCTGGCGCCGGTACTCGGCGATCTCTTCCTTGGCGGAGCGGATGGCCTCCTTGTTCTGCTCGGCCGCCTCGGTGAGCTTGGCATAGCGGCACTTAAACCATTCTTCGGCCTGGTGCATGTTCTGGTCGGAGTGGCACTCGAGCTGGGAGCGGATCTCTTTCAGCGCGGTGGAGATGTCGGTCTTCAGGTAGTCTTTGCGCTCCACGGTGATGTGCGACGCCTGGATCTGCGCCAGCAGGTCCGCCACCTCCTCTTCGTGATTGCTGCGCAGGAAGGCCACCTCATCCTGCAGCGACTGTACCTTCTTGTCCAGCTCCACCTTGACCATCGACGACTCCTCGATGTCTTTGCGCAGCGCGCGGATGGCCGCCTCGGTGTCGTCGCGCAGCCGCGCCTCCTCCTCGAAGCGCTCCTTGAGCCGGTGGATGTCCTCCTCCAGGTGGTCGGAGTCCAGCTGCACTTGCGCCTTCTCGTGGTTCACCATCTCCAGGGCGGCTCGGAGCTCGCGGATCTCCTGGTCGTACGCGTCGCCCAGCTGCGCGTGCGAGGCCTGCTTCTGCCGCAGCGCCTGGATCTCCGCCTCGATCTCCTTGTTCTGCTGCTCCAAATAGTGCACCTTCTCGATGTAGCCGGCGAAGCGGTCGTTCAGCCCCTGCAGCTGCTCCTTCTCGTTGGAGCGGGACAGCTTGTAGTCGCCGCCGGAGCCGCCGTTGAGCAGGGACGAGGACTGGCTGAAGTCCAGGCTGCTCTCGGCCGAGCTGAGCATGGCCGAGCTGTAGGCGAGGCGCGGGGCGAGCGCGCTGCGCTTGTAGGAGGACGACACGGTGCTAGGCGAGCCGCGGGACCACGACTGCGAGCGGAAGCCGCTGGACGGGGAGCCACTGACCCGGCTGAAGCTGGAGCGGGTCTCCGTTACCCGCCGGTAGGCGGACGGGTTGCCCAGCGAGTCCAGAGTGTAGCTCATCTTGGAGGCCTTGGGGTGTGTGGCTGTCACAGCGTTCTGCCGGCCTCGCCGCAGCCCATTTATAGCCGCGGAGCTGGGCCCGGGCCAGCGCCCCGCCCCGTGGAGGCGGCGGCCGAGGAGGCGGGGACTGCGGGCACCGGGCAGGGGGGGAGGGGGCCACAGTGCCGGGAGAGACCGCTTAGCGGTGATTCAGCGCCCGCTCCACGTGGGCCCGCGCCGCATCGGACCCCGCACTTTGCAGTTCAGGCCCCAGCCCTTCCCCCAGCTTCCCTTTCGGTCCACTTTGTAGCCCTGCAATGCCCCTCTCTCCATGTTTCACCTTCAGGTTGCATTTTACATCCTTGGTGCGAACAAACCACCCAACGCCCTTTCTTTGTCTAGTCACTCTCCCGTCCTTTGGGCAGATGCTCTTCGGACCCCCTGGTCACCTTGTTCTGTAGCCCCCTCCTTAGTCTCACGGCCTTCTCTTCTTTTCCCCCTTTCCCCTTACTTTTTGCTTTCTCCATCTTTGCTTAATCACTCCCCCCTCTTTGTGATCCCCTTTCTCCCTCCTACTTCTAGTCTTCTTCAGTCTCACTCACCCCGCCCTTCTCTTGGGTCCCCTTCCTCCTGGACCTTTTTCTTTTACCCCTTCTCCTGCCACCCCTCCCCCTTCATGTCCTCTCCCCTCCCCCATCCTCATCTCCCTTGCTTCGCTTCCCTTCCCCCACTCCTTGTCTTAAAGCAGCCGGGGATGAGCGCATAGGAGTTGTGTCTAGAAGAAAAACCAAAAAAAGACAGCGAGGAACGGTCGGCCCGAAAGCTTCAGGAATGGGACAAAGAGGACAGGCCGGGGTAGTTATTTGTATTGAAAGTGGGATGTGGAGATTCTTTCTGCTTAACGTTTGGGGTCGTCCGCAGCTCCGCAGGGCAGAAGGTAAGGCGCTGTGTGCCTATGGCGCCGGCAGCACCAAGGACAGCGCCCAGGCCACTTGCGGGTGATTCAGCTACCCCCGGGGCTGGTGGTCCAGCCTAGCCTGTCAGTTTGGCAGGGGCTCAGTAGTTTTTCTCCTCTTCCTCTTCCTGAGTAAATACAACTAAAGCCTGCTTGTAGTGACTTGGCTTTCAGGACCAAGCTAGAATCCCACGCTAAGACTTCTCTGCAATGCAGGTTTGGCACAATGATCACATTGCAGATTATGAGATCAACCAAAATTCATTAAAATCAGTTAACAGAAATATGTTCTCGAAGCCCGAACTGACTTTTGTAACATATGGTGGATGCAGAAAATCGAGAGATACGAAGTCTGAGATTTGAAGGTCAAATTTTTATTGGAAAGGGGAATTTGAAATCTGCTGAGATGAAAAGTTCGGGGAAATAGAGTTTCCGATAAGTTTGAGGAAAAACTGCCTTGTCATCTTTCTGTTCACTCCTTACTAACTGCAGTGGTTGAGAGGGTATCTGAATTAACTTTAATTTAAAAGTGGCCAAGCAGATTCATCACAACCTTAAATAAAACTAGATATTTCCCCCTCCATTTTAAATGTAATGTATTAACCCTATGTAGATTTTAAAGACTGATTTGGAATAGACTTTCCATATTTTAGACATGTTAATTTAAACAGTTAGTGTACACATATTTCCTGTTCTCTAGTGCACTTTTTTCTAACTGTTAAAATGTTCCTTTATTTTGGATCGTGCTTGGGGATAATTCAGGATAAAAAAAAAAGTTCAGAGTGGTGCCAGACAAAGTGAAGGACAAGGCAGTACTAACAATGGAGTGCTTGGCCACAGGCACAAGTGACAGTGTGAAATGCTTGTTATAAGCAAGAAACCATAGCTTGGAAAAAAGTCGACTCTAGATTTAAAGAGCTTCTTTTTCACAGCATGCTTTCTCTAGACAAGGGCATATTAAGTCAGTAAGTCATTAGAAAATGCTTCAGTTTCTGGAGGCTTGAACTTTGTAATTTGTGTAAGCTCTCCTGGCTGGCTTGTATTAAAGTAGAAACAAGATGGAAGAACAGGGGTTAAGTTGGGGAGTTACTTACTCTTGGTTCATTAGTGTGAAATTGCAGCACTGCAGACTGCAGGGAGAGGGGAGGAGGCTACTCTAGTTTGCTGTCTCAAGTTGTTAAGACAGAAGGATGACAGCGTGTGTGGGGGGGATGACTTATGAATATTATGAAGACAAAGGTTCTGTTTTCATGTGGGCAAATTAGGGGAAAGGAAGAAAGCTCCCTGGCCCTGTAAAGTTTGGGATCACAGGCTGGAAATCAGCAGGGTGCCATGTCAATAGTGCTACTGGCTAATTATGCAGCATTGATGCCTGGGTTATGTATTTACTTCTTGCTTTTATTAAAATATAGCAAACCCTTGACAGTTTCTTGTTGCACATTCTGCAAAGAAAGCACATGGTTAATGGGCAGGCTTCAGCTGTTAGTTTTCTTTAGGGCTTTGGCAATGAGATGACTCTGCAGAGAGACATTTACAAGGAAACACATGTCTAATTTCACAATTAGCGTGTTTTGCCTCGTATCTAAACTAGCTCAAAAATTGTTAAGCTTCCAACTGGTTACAGAGGGAAGAAAGCGTTGCGTACAAACAAAATCACAGCCAATTACTCAGGCTAAATTTTTTACTTGTAGCTTAAAATTGTAACTTCAACATCACCTGAATAATTTTTCAGTCTGGGCTTTATACAATAATGCAGGGAACATATGATTTGCTTTATTAGGGAGAAAATGTTCTCATGGCTTAAAAAAATGATGGCTTCAGTTCCACAGTTAGCAAAACGTTTTACTTTATATTAGACTTACTTTGGCACTGCTCCTGAAGGTGACTTGAAGGTTATACCTATCAGTGCATCTAGTCTAAAAACATTTTTTTCTTTTTCAAAATCTATAGCAGACCTTCTTCCTTTTTGTTTCATACTTTTGAGGAACTTTCCCCACCTTTTATTTTTATTGAAAGACATGCTTTGCACCCCCTTCCCCCAAGACACTAAGGCTATGGAATCTTAAAATGTTCTTAAGAGATATTAAACATGGAAATGTATCTGATGTTCCCACACTGCATTGATGGAATTGAGTTCACTACAATACTTTTGTAACGTATTCTAAATAGAGAAGTTACGCATATGATTCAGATGTAAGAGTTTAATGAAATGATCTCTAAATTGTTTCATAAGCTACAGTCTGTTTTGAATCACAACAGACATACGGAGCTTGTTCCCATCTCTTTGCTGCCTCGGTAGGTAAAGTACAGATGTTAACTCTGAAGTGAAGCGATAGCCACAGTGAGATTTTTTTCAGGATCGTATAATGATGATGGGAAAACATCCTTTACATAAGACATTTATTTGTTGGGTCAAAAAATAAAGGTAAAGAAGGAGCTAGGAATTTTCTCCCTTCTTTCCTTATTCCTTATGTTTCTTCTTTTAAAGAACATATGTGTTTTTTGCTGCACAAAAATGCAAGGAAGATGGAATGTGGGAACCCGGCTGCAAGCAAGAGGCTCCAGAAGGAAAGCAATACCGTCAAAACCACAGAAGGCTGGATCTGTCCAAGACCAGATGAGCTGTACTTCCACTCAACCTACTGTGATGTCTCCAGCCTGGTCTTTCTGCCTGGGGTTGGATTCTATAGATAATTATTTAGAAATTGTTCTTTGCTAATTATTTAAGGGGTTCTTGAGGTAGGTTAGTAACTGAGTCTGATTGTAAAGAAAGCTGTAATGCTTATTTCTACTTGAGCCTCTAGTGTCAAACTTTAAAAATAAAATTGACTTTTTTGTTTGTTTTAGAGGTTGAAATAAAAATATCCTCTGGGAGGAGAGAGGAGAAAGGCTATTTATTATTAGGAAAATTGGGACATGAATTTATGTTCCTATTGCTTTTAATGAAAACAAATCCATCTGGACCAGTGTTCCTTTTCTGACATTAAGTCACTGAAAATTTTTTTTTCTCTTGCCAAATATTTTATGCATTGAATATTATATTTCTGTCAGTTGCTGCTTTTGTGAAGTCAATTGAAGTCTTTTAAAAAACTTGAAACATTTGATCTTTATATGTTCAAAACATTAACTTAATCAGTTTTGAAATTCTCTATCTGGAAATTCCATGTTTTATGGGGAAAGACAGCTTTTGGCTTTAACGCAGCTTGCTGATTTTTTAAAATTTTTACATTTAAAAAATTTTTTGCTGTGTAATGCCTTCACCCGGCCACTGTGAATCAGTTCCATGAAAGCTGGAGGATGAAGAAGACTTAGGATTTTTAAAAAGTAATAAACAGCCTCACTAAAGGAAACCCTAAAAGTAAACTTCAGTAGATATATTTTAAAAAGTTCTGCTATTTTAATTATCAGCATATTTTTAATTGGTCACATTGGCTTTACCTTGAAAGTGACAGATCTTGACAATATGCACTTGAATTTTTAAAGCTCTGCATTGCACATAACTGCACCAGTGCAGACCTGTTGTCACAGCATATTTTATTCCAAGTTTATCAAGGCTTGACTTAGCAAGAGACATAATTATTTTATTACAGACTCAATTAAAATGGACTTTGTAAAACCATAACAGATCAATGATCTGTTATCTTTGGACCAAATTTCTGAAGAGAGCTAAACTCAGAGATACTGAGTCAAACATCTCATCTAATAAATAAGGCTCCTTGTTGCAGACCTGAGTTGTTTTTCTTGGCAATTCTGAAAAGCAGTATTTTTCACAAGTCTCTGAAAATGGGTGCAGCATCCTAGCTGTCTCCTTTTCCTTAGATTGCCAAGAATATATATGTTAGAAGATTTCATTCATTTTTATTATAAAATAGGAATTTACAAAATGCAGAGACAATAACTTAAATAATTTCTTCTAGTTCTTCTCTTTAATTTAAATATAGATAGGATCTTTTTGTTTATATAATTCAACGCCCCATTTTGTAAATAAATGTAACTTCAGTTTTGCTACCTTTGGAGGAACGAATGTGGTAACACCTGGCATGAGTACTTAACTTGCATTTTCCTCTTTAAAAAAAGATTCTTAAAGGCTCTT